ATTTCATTTCATGGGTCTTACATGCAAGGAAGTGTTTTCTAAAATAACAACAACATGGCTCTTTTTCTGCATTATCTATTAAAAGTTAAAAATCTACCATTTCCTTTATCCACAAACAAAACAAACTACACTGTTAAACAAGACATTGAAACTGACAAACAATACCTCTTGAAACAGTTGGTCTTCCACTGGTGACATATAAAGACATGTGAAAAATGCTTGATGGAAGTAAAGGTCTTTACTAATATCAGGATGATTCATGCAAGATTTGATAAGAGCCATTGCCTCTGGGATGCGCTCACAGGCAATAAGGTATCTGGCACGTAATTCAAAGAACAGTGGATTTTCAGAGCTTAGATATTTGTTAACTGGTAAGACAAAAAGACAAATAATAAAATTACAAAAAATAAATAAATTGCAGTATAGGTAAAACAACAACTATTTATAACACAGCATGAAAAAAGTTCTTTTTAAAGAAAGTAAAGTAATAAAATTTCAGTGGGTTCACATTTGTAAAAATTATTGGAGGTAACAAAATACGGTCACCATTAAGACCAGGGCTTGTATTCCAGTTGTTTCAGATAAAGGTAAAGGTAAAAGTTCTCCTTGACATTTAGTCCAGTTGTGTCTGATGCTAGGGCGCGGTGCTCACCCCCATCTCCAAGCCATAGAGCCAGCGTTTGTCCATAGACAGTTTCCGTAGTCACATGGCCAGCGTGACTAGACACGTAACGCCGTTACCTTCCCACAGTGGTGGTACCTATTTATCTACTCGCATTTACATGCTTTCAAACTGCTAGGCTGGCAGGTTTATGTTCCAGATATTTGCATACAAATTTGCACAGTAACAGTATATAGCACTTGACCTGGTATTAAATTCCCTCTTATTAACTCAGTGCTACTGATTGTTATGAAAACTATAAGCCCTTCAGGTAGAAAGTTTTTGCAGCATTCTTCAGCATGTCTGCATTTCAAACTTCCATGCAAGGACCTGATGATCCAACCTGAGCAACATGAAGCAGGAAGCACAAAGAGTTGGTCTTTAAATGTTCTGTCCCCTTCAGGGAAACAAATCTAAATGTGATAACTGGCCACTAGGCCAGGACTCCTGTATTTAAATCAATGTTTACATCATCCATAGACCTTTTTTAAATACTGAAGCCTTTTTAGTGCTCTGCTTTATTCAGCTATCATTACTGTCAGTGAATGTATGGTTTTACTGTGATTTTATGTGATAGGTACCTCAGAAATATTGATAGTGAAATACGAAGACATTATTATGAAAATTCCTACATAAATAAAGCTGCTGTTCCCAATCTAAAGCCAGTAGCAGGCAAACTTGTTAACCTGCAAATGAGTCCACAAGAAACAATGAAGACATCTGACAGTGCAAAACAAGTGACTGCATTAGTATTTGCAACATTTATGGTAAAGGACTGGATACCTATCTCCTGAGAAATTGGCTTTGCTTTAAGAACAGCTTGTAAAACAGGATCTTCCCAAGGTCCTCCATCTCTGATAATTCGAGTTACCAGCTCCAAGTTAATATTTCTGTATCTGCTCAAGAGGTTCTGGCATTCCTAAAAAAATGAATGGATATTAAAGCAGACAGAACTTTCTGTTTGCACTTTCATAAAAAGTGTCTCTAGATAGATAGACAGACAGACAGACAGACAGACAGATACACACAACACTAGATAGATAGATAGATAGCTAGATAGATACACACAACACACACACAGGGTAATATACTTAAATATTTAAGTCTTGTCTATGCCGTATGTGCAATTAAAGATACTGCATGTGAAAAGCATGCTGAAAAACTATACTTTAGCAGTGATGGCCAATTCAAGGGTCTATTGCACCCACTGTATCTCAACTGAAAGATATATTGGTCAGATGGAAGAGAAGTCAAAAGTGCTAGCCAAGCAGCTCTTACATTACCCTCTTTAATGTCATTTCATTCATTTCTCAAGCATTCCCTCAGAGAATGACAGAAAAAATACCCCAGAGAATTCCGTAATATCCTCTCATTCTGTCAACAAGGTGCTGCTAGTTCAAGAACTGACTTGCTGGGAGGCAAACCAAAAACAACTGTGTTCTCAGCAGGGAAGAAGACTGCAGAAAAAAGTCTAAGGTAAAGGTAAAGGTTCCCCTTGACAATTTTTGTCCAGTCGTGTTCAACTCTAGGGGGCGGTGCTCATCCCCGTTTCCAAGCCATGGAGCCAGCGTTTGTCCGAAGACAATCTTCCGTGGTCACATGGCCAGTGCGACTTAGACACGGAACGCCGTTACCTTCCCACCGAGATGGTCCCTATTTATCTACTTGCATTTGCATGCTTTCGAACCGCTAGGTTGGCGGGAGCTGGGACAAGTGACGGGCGCTCACTCCGTTGTGTGGATTCGATCTTACGACTGCTTGGTCTTCTGACCCTGCAGCACAGGCTTCTGCGGTTTAGCCCGCAGCGCCACCACGTCCCTCGTGGTCTAAGGGTAGCAAAAAGATGAATGACTCTCAGGTTTACCTTCTAATTGATCAGACCTAATTTCATTTAGGACTAGTAAGTAGTTTTCCAGGGAGTCAAAAGGATTCAAAATGCTGAAAAGTAGGCCATCACAATTATCTCAAAGGAAATAAAAGGCTTACTTTTTATAAGCACACCCTAGCATGAAATATTTACAACAATCTCAAATTTAAATTTAAGTTCTTTAAAAATAGAAGTCTACTTTTTCCAATGCCAAAAAGCACTGATAGAATGGTATCAATTACTGTGGTATTAAGGTATGAACAATAGGAGTTTACCTGGATTGAACCCAGTATGTCTTTCAAAGGATCCTCATAAAATTCATCCTTTCCAAAGAACAGCAGCAATTCAAAAAAGCTCCTAGAATCCAAAACAGTTAACAGGTTAAAATATTGGGCAAAGAATGAAAGCATATTATTTCACAAATTGCAAACTCAGAACCTAAATGTACCCAAAGCCTCTGAAGGCTTCATATCAAACAAGTACAGGCATACCTTGGTTTCCGAAATTAATGCATCTTTCAGGACGTTACGTAAAGGCATACCTTGGTTTACGAAATTAATGCGTCTTTCAGGACGTTACGTAATGTGTACATTTCATAAACTGATATGTGGATTGCACTAGGAGTGGGGGCAATGCTAGAAACCTCCAGGCGCAATGTGTCCTGGGGAAACCCTTTAGTACAGCCGGGGGAGGGGAGAGGAAAAAAAACGTAAACAAAGGCATTATTTTCTATGGATTTAATTTTTATTTTCTATGGATTTCGGTTCGTCAACCAAAAATTACATAAACCGACGCTTTCAGAAAGCGAGGTACCGCTGTATGTTTAACTGTCCTGGAACAGAACAGAAGGGCAGTATAGAATCTAGAATATTAGCATGATGTACTATCACTGCTACATCCCATGTGGATATGGTCTGTCACATCCTGCACCAGCGGAAACCATCTGTTTTCAAGGACAGCATCAGACCATACAACGTCTAAACTAAAAATTATGAATTACAGAAACCTCACAAGCCTGACCATCTTATCTATCTTCTGAGAAATCTATATGTGGGGCAGGAAGCAACCGTTAGAACTGGATATGGAACAACTGACTGGTTCAAAATTGGGAAAGGAGTATGACAAGACTGTATATTGTCCCCCCGCTTATTTAACTTACATACAGAATACATCATGTGAAAGGCTGGACTGGATGAATCCCAAGCCAGAATTAAGATTGCTGGAAGAAATATCAACAAGCTCCGATATGCAGATACCACTCAATTGGCAGAAAGTGAGGAGGACTTAGCAAACCTCTTAATGAAGGTGAAAGAGAAGAGCGTAAAAATGGTTTGAAGACCAACATAAAAAAAAACCTAAAATCATGGCCACTGGTCCCATCACCTCCTGGCAAATAGAAGGGGAAGATATGGAAGCAGTGACAGATTTTACTTTCTTGGGCTCCATGATTACTGCAAATGGTGACAGCAGCCATGAAATTGAAAGACGCCTGCTTCTTGGGAGGAAAATGATGACAAACCTAGACAACATCTTAAAAAGCAGAGACATCACCTTGCCAATAAAGGTCCACATAGTCAAAGCTAGGGTTTTTCCAGTAGTGACGTATGGAAGAGAGAGCTGGACCATAAAGAAGGCTGACCACCGAAGAATTGATGCTTTTGAATTGTGGTGCTTGAGAGTCCCCTGGACTGCAAAGAGAACAAATCTATCCATTTTGAAGGAAATCAACCCTGAGTTTTCACTGGAAGGACAGTTCCTGAAGCTGAGGCTCCAGTACTTTGGCCATCTCATGAGAAGAGAAGACTCCCTGGAAAAGACCCTGATGTTGGGAAAATGTGAAGGCAAGAGGAGAAGAGGACGATAGAGGACGAGATGGCTGGACAGTGTCATCAAAGCAGCCAACATGAATTTAACCTAACTCTGGGAGGCAGTGGAAGACAGGAGGGCCTGGCATGCTGTGGTCCATGGGGACACGACTTAATGACTAAACAACACCATCA